TAGATTGCAGGGCTCCTGGCGTCGCTGCTGGTGCTGGTGGTGGTGGTGGCCGTCGGCTTTGTCTTCGAGCCGCTCCCTCAGGTGAGTTCCTGTTTGATGTTTGGGCGTGACCTGTGAGCCTGCACACACCTAAATGTCGTCTTTGGCTCTCGTTTGCTTGTGTTTCTCAGACTGCGCTGGCTGCCATCATCATGGTCAACCTCATAGGGATGTTCAAGCAGTTCAGAGACATTCCCAGTCTGTGGAGGACCAGCAAGATTGAACTGGTCAGTCTTTAAAACCAAGCTTAGCTGACTTAAAGTGCACCGTTGTTCTGAGAGGTGTGTATGTGAACCCGAGTGAATACACAGTGGAGAAGCTGAGGTTGCAGACAGAAGTGTGACTATAATGTGCAGGAGTGGAAACGATCAGATAAATGCACGTCGTCTGAAGACATTTGCTTATGTAAAAACTGCTTTGGTCTTGCAAAACGCTTCCTCTTCATGCTAGTTTCATGTTACTTTCTTTTTTGTCCTCTCAGGCCATCTGGGTGATCGCCTTTATCGCTTCTGTGCTGCTGGGACTGGACTACGGCCTCCTGGTGGCCGTCACATTCGCCATATTGACAGTCATATACAGGACACAGAGGTAATGATTCGAATATGTGTTTTTCCTTGAACTGAAGCTTAAAGGCAGCTGTGAGAGTTTTCAAAGAGCAGGTTTGATTTGTGCTCTGAGCTGTTTTCTTTCTCTTCCAGCCCTAAAACTTCCATCCTGGGTCACGTCGCTAACACGGGGCTCTACTGTGACGTCGACGAGTATGAAGAGGTAAATGTGTGAGGAGAGAAACCTGCTCCGTGTGAAACATCCACACTGACCAAGCCTGCTGTTTGTGTTCTCAGGCGGCTGAATATGAGGGGATTAAGATCTTCCACTCCAACTCTTCAGTCTACTTTGCTAACAGTGACCTGTATGTGAACAGCCTCAAGGAGAAGGTAGCAGTGTGTTTGAGTGTGTGGAAGCAAACAGAAACCCTTTTGTGGGGGAAATGTGTGAAGCACTTATTATCACCTGACTCGGTCTGAGAGGAGCAGCGTGAGCGTGTAATCATCTGGTGGTAGATGCGAGCAGAGCTCTACTTTGAGATGAGCAGGAAGTCAGTTTGCTTGTGTTTTCACTGTCTTGGCTACAAACGAAGGTTTGCAGTTGTAGCCTGTTCACGTTACAGCTGAAGCTTCAACAGTTCAGTGAAAACGTTTCTACGTTTGTCATTTCTGCTTTTTTGTGTGTTCAAATAACTAAGAGCAAAGAATACATTTTAACTTTACTGTGTGAATTAAAGGTTTATCCAGTATCTAAGCACTGTGTGGGAAATATTCCCAGCCTCTCCCAGTCTTAACCTAAGGAGTAACTGTGCCAGCTTTACCAGCAACACCTGATTCCTAGGGATCAGTCTCTGTTGCTACTGTGGTGGCATGTTGAGTCCTTAAAGGGGAAAAGAGTCCTGTTGTAAGACCATGGACTGAGCTCAGTGTTTACGAGTCACAGCCATGCCTGATCGCCTCAATAACACAAAGAGACGCTACAAGAGCTCAAAAAGCAACACGGTGCCACGACCAGCTGCAAAGGGTAACAGGGTCATTACGTTACTGCTTCAGAGCTTGGACAGTTGATGAAACTATGAATTCTGGGTAATTACGTTTTCACCTAGGTGCAGGTTTGGATAGCTTGTGTTGGTTAAACAATGAAATCACACGTTGAAAACTGCATTTTGCTTTTACTCAGGTTATCTTTGTGCAAGATTAACGTTTGTTTTGTGACAAATCAGGTGAAGCACAGATGTTACTGAAAGCAGTTGATCATGTGCTTCATGCTTATTGTGTTAAAGTAAAGACGTCGATATGTGTTTGTTTTGTAAACATTGTTTCAGTTCTCATTTTTGTTTTTCATATTCAATTCAGCTTTATTTACACAGCGCCAAATCACAACAACAGTCGCCTCAAGGTGCTTTATATTGTACAGTAGACCCTACAGTAATACAGAGAAAAACCCAACAATCATATGACCCCCTATGAGCAGCACTTTGGCGACAGTGGGAAGGAAAAACTCCCTTTTAACAGGAAGAAACCTCCAGCAGAACCAGGCTCAGGGAGGGGCGGGGCCATCTGCTGTGATTGGTTGGGGTGAGAGAAGGAAGACAGGATGAAGACATGCTGTGGAAGAGAGACAGAGATTAATAACAAGTGTATTATGTAATGTAATATGAATAATTATCAGAGAAAATGCCAAAATAAGAGGTGAGGTAATGGTAGAGGTAAACGAGTGAGGGAGAATGACGTGCTGAGTTGGATGTTAACAGCTCTGTTGTGATTATGTTGATCTTTACAGACGGGGCTAAACCCTGAACACTTACAAGCTGCTCGGAAAGCCCAAAAAAAAAGAAAGGAGAAGACTAACAGCAATCGGTCGTCTCCGCTGAAAATCTGTGCCAAGGTGGGTCGCTGTTTGTCTTTTGTCTATCCAAACTTTGAGCTTTGTCAACAGGTTAAATACACACTCATGTGACGGTCGTGTGTGTGTGTATATATAATATGTTTTGTGGTGCTGCTTTGTTTCTAGTACAAGGATGAGGCAGTGACTCATGACGTTTTGTCCCAGAGCCACGTGGCGGAGGATCAGAAGAACGGCCAGTTTGGCGACAGACATGGCGACTCAGAGGAGGCGGTCTTCCTTGAGCCTTTCAGCACAGTCCACTCCATCATCCTGGACTGGACGTCTGCAACTTTCATCGACTCAGTGGGAGCTAAAGCCATCAGACAGGTTCTGGCCCTTTCTCCAGCGCTGCACTGCACAGGAGCACCAGCTGCATATTTTCACTGAACTCCAGTCACTGTTTCATGGTGTAGAGCTCAAATACTAAAAACTATTATCTCTTTGTGCAGGTCATTAAAGAGTATGCCGCCGTAGATGTCCGGGTGGTCATAGCTGGCTGCAACAGTAAGTGACTATTAAGACTTTTCATTAGATCTGAAAATATCTGTGCACATGCTCTGTTTTATACGCACTACGTACAAAACGCAATTAAAACCCATCCATCCATCTATCCTCTTATCTTTACAAATTGCTGTGGGGACTATTTGTGGACCATGAACTGTTCATGAAACCAGTTAGAGGACTGGTGCTTTGTTACACATCGTCCTGCAGGAGTTGGTACACTGTGGTCAGAAAGGCATGGACGTGGAAATATCCCTCACACTGTAGCACCACTGATTCAATGCAGGAGGAATCCATGCTGTTATGATGTTTGTACCAAAGTCTGCTACAGAAAGCCTGTGCATACTGCAACCTCAGGTTTCTGTTTGTCGCTGGGCGATGTGGCGCCCTGTGGTCTGATGCTGCTGTAGCCCATCTGCTTTCCAACACGAGGTGCATTCAGAGAAGCTCTTTGGTGGTAACACATGGTTATTTGAGTCACTCTTACCTTCCTGTCACGCTCGACACATCTTCTCCCAGAGAACTGCTGCTCGCCTGTTACGTTCTCTTGTTCAGACCGTCCTCTGTAAACCTCAGAGATGATTGTGTTGGAAAGTCCCGGGAACTTCTAAAGCACACCTGATATCTAGTCATGCCATGTTCATTCTGATGCTCGCCTTGAACTCCAGCTGATGTCTGCATTGAGCTTCTGCCATGTGATTGGCTGATTTCGATGTTTGCATGAATGAGAACATAAGGTCTGTAAGTGGAGACCTATAATAAAGACAAGTTCCACACACTGGGGTCATAATGTAAAGGATGGAAACAGGCAACAAGCGCTATGACAGAACTCTGTTGAAAGTTTTGGTTTGAATGATTAAGCCTGTGGGTCCTGACAGACCTGTGCAAACACAGCCTGTGGTTCACAGACTGAAGCCATTCCTGCAGTAACAAACAGGACGCTCCTGTTCTGCACATTTGGGATTGAAAATGAGAAGATATCATTTGGAACCAAATGGTAAACATGTCACACGATATATTTACAGTTCAATTTCAGTATATTGGCTCACGAGCGCGCAGGATGTTTTCAGAGTGGCAGCTAGCCAGAAGAAGGCAGGGATGAAGCTGCAGCGGCTCGTTTCACACTGTAACAAAGCTGCTGTCCAAGAAGTGAACACAGCAGGTTGCTTTAGTTGCTTTGTGTGCCCTGTAAATGGAACAAAGGTATCACTGCAGGAATGTCAGTGTCTGCACAGAACGTTTATTAGCCCCACTGCAGTGAGTCTTTCCTTCACTAAAGTCTGTGTTCAAATGGTTTGAAAGTGGTTGTTGTCATTGATGTAAATACTGAGCCTGCTGCATGCTTCTCTGCAGGAAACCTGCTGGCTGAACTGGACACCTTGAAGTTCTTCACTAAGGACCTGACCACAGACTTCCTGTTCCCCACCGTCCACGACGCCGTGCTCCACTGTCAGCACTCAAACTCTCACCCGTCTGTGGCTGCGGTCAGCGACACGACCTGAGAGGATGGGACGTGGTGGCGCTCTCACAACCTCACTGTGAACTTGTTTTCAGCTGAAATATCAGGAGTGTTTTTCAGTCTTGTTAAAGTTCCAAAGCAGCAAGAACATCGTTTTAATCAGAACCTTCAGGATGTGGCGTCCAGCCTGATTTCTCTGCAGTGTTGACGCTGCACTTTAGTCATGTTGTAGTTCTCACTGTTTGCTGAAGTACTTTTTAAAGCTGCAGCTTTGTCTACATGATGTTAGCAGGTACTGTTGGAGGCCTTGTTGTAAACATGTAATACTGACCACCTCATTATCACGCTGGTACCAAATTGTTACCTATAATCTGTCAATATGATTTTTGTTATTCTGATCTGGAATGACCTTTCCAGTCTGTTTGCAGTGTCATGTTGCCGTTACTGTACACTTGCATTGGTATGACTCATATGAATGCAGTGGACAGCTTTAATTGTGCTGTTAGTGAACGACACAGGAGGCCTTTAAAGCTCCCTGTGCTTATTTTGTTAAACACTGAAACTGAAATCTGGAATAACTTTTATTTTTTAGTGAACAACAATAACAACAAAACAAAATCCTTTTGACTCTCTTTTTTTTGACAAAGCCAAATCAGACACAAGCACACTCTCAGTTGTAGGTCATGTATCTGGGAGTGGCGCTGAACTTGGCGTATGATTTGATGACCTTGTTAACGGCTTCCAGGAAATCTTTCTCTGTGGCGATCTTCCTGCGGGCCCTGATGGCAAACATTCCTGCCTCGGTGCACACGCTGCGGATCTCGGCACCTGAAAGGAAGCACGATTTAAGAGAGTGCTCAGACTTTCAGAGAGCTATTAAACCTGTAGACGACCTTTATCCCACGCTGTCAAGCCATTCAAAACAGTTTGACTTGGCTGAAATACAGGATCGTGTTAAAGGACAGCCAAGACTCAGACTCTCATCTACTTTAACATAACATACTTCCAAGTTTATAAAGGGCAATAAGAAACCTTTCCAAGTAACAGGTTGCCCCCGTGTGGTCATACATCAGTACTACACTAAGAGGTCTGAACTCTTCTAAACTAACAAGAAGTCGATAAACAAATTGGAAAAATACTGGAAGTTTAGTGCAGCGGTCCCCAAGTTTTAATTTATCTCTGACAATATTTTCACAGACCGGCCTTTATGATGTCGCAGATCAGTAAAACAAAATAAAACCAGTACTGGTACCAAACACCGGGAAAACCAAACATTTCACACCCAAGCCTCAACTCTTACGGCTCGGTACCGGTCCGTGATTTGGGGACCGCTGGTTTAGTGTCTCTATGACAACGGCATTCTGAAGGAAAGGACAGCTGATGTATGCCACACCCACACGAGCAGGAAACACTAAAACAGATAAAGACGCAGCTGAGGGAGACTGTGACTCGACAGGAAGTAACGTCTGCTCTGCAGTCTTACCGGTGCTGTTGGGACAGAGGCGAGCCAGCAGCTCAAAGCGGATGTCTCTCTCCACACTCATAGAGCGGGCATGGATCTTGAAGATGTGGGTGCGACCCTGCAACGGCGGGTTTAAAGATGGTTGAATTGGACAGAGCTACATCAGAGAAGTGTAACACAGTCCAGTTTGAAACTCACCTCAAGGTCAGGCAGGCTGAACTCGATCTTCCTATCCAGACGTCCGGGCCTCATCAGGGCCGGGTCCAGCGTGTCCGGCCTGTTGGTGGCCATCAGCACTTTGATGTTGCCTCGAGGGTCGAAACCATCCAGCTGATTGATGAGCTCCAGCATGGTCCTTTGGACCTCGTTGTCTCCACCGGCGCCGTCATCAAAACGAGCACCTGGCAGGTTCAGAGGGTTACACGCTCAGAATGGATTTCTCTTCACGCTGGATTAAAAGGGCTGCTGCACGTCAGTGGATGTTTTTTTTTTTTAAGTAATGAGACTAACCTCCAATAGCATCAATTTCATCAAAGAAGATCAGACAGGCCTTTTTGGTCCTGGCCATCTCAAAGAGCTCACGCACCATCCTGGCGCCCTGTGAACGAGTTCAGGAAAAGTCAGACGTTTACGAGAATCAACCTTCCTGATCTGAACTGCAGCTAATCTTTCTTTTCGTGAGCGCACCTCTCCCACGTATTTCTGCACCAGCTCGGAGCCGATGACTCTGATGAAGCAGGCGTCTGTTCTGTTGGCCACAGCCCGGGCACACAGGGTCTTTCCGGTTCCGGGGGCCCGAATAGCAGCACACCTTTAGGAGGCTCAATTCCCAGATTGACAAACCTCTCAGGCTGGTGAGAAGAAAAAGACGACAAGTGAGCTCCCATGTGCAGAAGACAGTTGCTTCACTCGTGCCTCAGTGGTGGTTCTAACTTTGGAACACTCACATGGAGCAGCGGAGTTTCAACCACCTCTCTTAGCTTCTCAATCTGCTCCTTGCATCCACCAACATCACTGTAGGTCACATCAGGCTTCTCTTCCACCTAAAGCAAGTGGGCCAAGGAGTTATCACATGCAAGCAGACAGATAACCAAACAATCACAGAGTATCCTCGCCTCCCAACCTGCATCATGGTGACAGTGGGGTCGATTTTCGGAGGCAGAGGAATGTGGATCTGATACTTGTTTCTGTCAACCCTGGAAAAACAGAAAGGACACTAAACTTAGCTTACGGCTGACGGAACCTTCTGGAAACTATGTAACACCTCTAAATCATGTTTCTGCCTCACCCCACTCTCATGCCCTCCTCGATGTCAGTTGGAGCCACCTGGTCACTCAGGTCCACCACAAACTTGGCAAACTGTTTGACGTTGATGATGTATTTGGGATCCTCAGAGTCTGCATTGATGATCTTTGTGCATCTTTCAGAAAGAAATAAAGAATCATGAAGCTACATAATGGAAATGCTGTGGAAGGAAGTAGGAAAGCTAAGAATATTCCCGTCAGATTAACAGGAATGTCGCTCGAAACATCCCAAAGGGAAGATCAGCGATATAACACCACACTTTACATTTTGGTGATGTTAAAGTCGAACATTTACCTTGCTACCTGCAGCGGCTGCTCGCTCTGCAGTGTCTGCTTGTCAGCAGCTAGATCCCAGAGAGCCGGTGGAGCCAGGCCTGTGTCAGACTCCTTGATCCCTGTGCAATTAAAAAAAACAAATCAGACACAAAGCATCTTGTGCAGCCCTCCAAAGTACCAAAACCGTCCATATATACTCCTCTGATAAAGCTGGACAACCGTTCCAAATTTAAGATGATCCATTTTCAGCAACAATGCAGCCCTTTGCATTTTTTGGAGTTAAAGTCAACTAGACATGCCTTTTTAAAATCTAAACTGGCCCCATAGCTGTGGGTTGTGGTAGAAAAGGTGATCTCTCTTTGTGTGTTAAACTAGCCCAGAGTACAGGCTGGCACTGGGTGGCTGGGAAAGGCCAGCTAGACAGCTGCATCTGAAGTGACAGGCCGTGCAAGCACCAAATAATTAAATCAAGGAGTGAAAATACATGAGATTTAACTGGCACCTAATGAAACTAAAATGTCCAAATGTATTTGTGCAACAGTGTTATTGAGTCCTGTGCATGTTGCAGGATAATCAGTTAATATGCACAGGACCATGCAGCTGCAGTTATCATTGTGTCTGTAACTTGGGACGCACAATTTGCTAAACTTGCTGATTTTGTATCGTTTCTGGATGCGACAAAATTCATTCAGGATCAGGCTTTTTAGTTCAGAAGCCTTTTCTGATTTGCGTCTCCTGCTGGAATCAACGAGCGACCTTCCACTTGTCAGCCTAATGTGTAAACCACTTCTATGGAGCTACCAAATACTTCCTGTACTACTGTTGGTTGTTAGAAATGAAACTGAGAATATCTGAATACATTTATAAGTTGTAATGGTGAATTCCAAGTAAAGAAAATCTAAGAAAGCCGGAGTAAAACCCCTGAGTTTGACCCAGTACTTGAAATCTGGTCAGACACAAGTGGCCTCCTAAGCTGGAATTTTTGAAGGTTTAGAAAGTTAGTTCGGCAAATGAGCTTTTCAAATAAATGCCGTTTTATTGCTTATGTCCGGTTTAATCACCAAGCCCAGTAAGAAGCTTACTGAGAACATCTTACTGCCCTGCTGTGGCACAAATGTACTTCTGAATTCGTCGCTCACCCGTCAGCTCGTTTATCTTCTTGAGCAGCTGCTGAATGTCATCTTCCACTTGTTTGATCTGCCTGGAATAGGTACTCTGACCCTGGTGGTGAACAGCAAGCAACACATTCACTCACTGTGGAATCATTTCCTTGACACTTGCTTGGTGTCGTGGTTTGAAAGCCATACTTACATATGTTTTGAGCAGAGCGATGTCCCCTTCATCCAAAGCTTTAAAAAAGAATCACAATCACATGAATGCGTTTGCACTCCGACACTGTTGTCGGACTGAGCGATGCAGTATACACAAGACTTTTTATTCCACCATCAACACATATTTATAACAACATGGTAACAAATACATTCAGCAGGAGCAAACTGTTTTCAACGAGCTAAGCTAACATTAGCAATGTTGCTAGCTGATATCGGCGCTTCCTTTCGGGAAATAATATCTTAGGGTTTAAAATAAACGATTTTAGATATACCTCTAATAGGGGAGTCACCCTTCTCCTCTTCCTTAATCTTCCTTTGGTCGTCTCCCAGATAGTCCGGCATGTCTAACGTGTGAACAAACTGTCTGGTCACGAACAATCAGGACTGCTAAACTCTACAATTACACAGCAGCTTTGGACTTCCGCCGCTATGCGCAACTTACCGGAACACACAAGCGGGAATTGTAGTGAGGATGTACCAGCTTTACGGGTTTAAAAAATATAATATTATCATGTTGTTCTGTTGGGGGCTACAGGAATCTTGTGCGTATCATTTTTACATCCTAATTATTAGAGAAACTGTATGACATGTTTAGCTAGCGGGGCCAGGTTTTAATCTACAGATAAATACCAAAACAAAAACGGCGGAACTACAAGTGACGAGGCGCGATGAGACACCCGGAGGTTTTAGCGGTGTGACAGCAGAGCTCGTTCTCGGATTGGCAGTGGCAAAAGGAGGCCCATGTGGTAGAGAGCGGGCCACAGACTGTAGCACTTTCTAAAGGTCTCACTTGATCATTCGGGCATCTGAATGTTCGCGTAACCTGCTTTGAAAATGCTGCTGGAAGCGTTGGATGGGGACGAAACGGTTGTCTACAGAGCAGCTGCCGGTAAGCACTGAAGGAGGTCAGAGGGAGGCAGCTAGTTGAGCAGGCACTCTTACACACTGATTGCTGCTCTGCGTGTTAGCATGCAGCTAAACAGAGCACACAGCAGGCTAACATTGCCGGCTAATTTGAAGCTCGGTAAAGTCTCTGCGTTTGTATTAGTTAGCCGTGTTGTGTCTCGGGTTATCCAAACGGCGTTTGTCGCCGGGTTCACTCGCTGCCGCCAGAGCGTCTCACCAGCTTCACCGGTTAGTTGGCTTCTACTTATAATTATTATTATTAATGACAGACTAGTTTGGAATTTCACAGCCTTTCATGTGGAGCAGTACCTGGCTGTTACGTAAGGGCTGAACGACTGTGACAGGCGTGAAGGTGGACACACGCAGCGCTCCCTGTTACTGACTGACGGCCGTTAAACTGTGACGGTGTCGCCGGCACAGCGTGTCACATGTCGGTGCTGCTGATTCATCTCCAGTAATAATGCATTTTATACTTTTGTAGCTTAAAATGACAAAGCAAGAGAGAGGCGACATGTTCAGTCAGTCACTGGGAGCGCTTCCTTTGGGACCTCTCAGCTGTGGGAGTTCTTGTTTGGAGGATCCTGAGTTCGCAGTGAGACTTTCCACCATGTTTGGGGCAGTGATGGTTGTGACACTCGCACTGTGCTTGCAGCTCTGCTTCAGTTCTTCAATAACCATAAGACTGTTCCCACCTCAAGCATATGACCCTGTCCTGTGTTCTCTGCATCGGCTCCATTTTTGCACTGATGATCAGCTGCATTCATGTATATACCAATCTGCTCAGCACTTTCAATTTTTATTTATGTTTAAGTGTTTGTCTTACAGCATGTTTCACACCAAGTACCGCAGCAATTTCCTAATGTTGTAAACCTGCTCAACATTGGCAGTAAAACCCTTCTGAGCATAGTCTGCTTAGTCTCTCTGAAGCTCTTTGCTGCCAAACAGCCTCTTAGTTTCCCAGCCGTCAATCATAGACTGTACATAAAGACAGCCATAGCTGCCAGAGCCCTCCACCTTGGAGTCTTTCTAATGTAAAGCTTTGAAAAGTTGCAAACGCTTTAGCCCTAACATGCTAATTAACGCCTGAGGCTTTGCTAAAAATCTCTTGGCAGTGTTCAAGTTAAGATAAGTAATGATTCGAAGTACTGAAACACTTAGTTTTACAGTGTCGTAGTAACAAAAAAGGGAGCAAAGATGCTTCATTTACCAAAATGTCTCTTCCTCCTCACAGCCTCTGCACAGGTTCAGGTGGAGCCCGTGGGTCGGTGGTTCGAGGCCTACATAAGGAGGAGAACAGAAATGTGTCGTCTTCCTTCCAGGAGCTGGAGGAAGAGGAGGAGTCCTCAGAAGAGTCTGCAGATGAGGAGTTTCAGCTGGAGGAGTACTCCATGCTCCGAAAACTTGATCCTAAAGACTGGAAGGTATGTGACAATACATCTCAGCTGTTTGCAAAGAGATCCCTGCTTTCACATCGGTACTAAACGGTTCTTCTGTCTTAGAAGACAAACAAATATGGATGAAACATTTTACTGAAATGTAACAAAAACTGAAATCATCAAAGTTCTGCTGTGATCCTGTTTATTAAAACATGATGGGGAGTTTGTTCAGCTGACCTGAGGGCATGCTCTGTAAGCAAAGTAGAATGTGTTGGGAATTTCAGAGTGAGGTTCCTGACAGCCCTCTCCACTTCCCTGTGATGTGTTTACAGTCTGGAAAAACTATTCAGTTGAACCGGTGATGGTGCGTGTTTTGCAGCACAGCCAGTTTTCCAAGCTTCGATACTCACTGTCTGTGGACGCTTATCTTTGGCCGTGTGTGTGTGTTTGATGGATGCACTGACACGCTGCACAGACGTGCTTTAATGATGCCTGAGTCGATGAAATTCACGTTAGCAACCGCTGCTTTGTTTGAATCAGTTAACGGTGTTGTGCTTTCCAAACAGAGGAAAATAATCCAGTTTGATGGATGAACTCTTTACTTTCTGCTGTTTCAGGGCTTTGGGTTTGTTGCACACCAGGCACATGCAGCACGTCATCAGGCCCCGTCAGGGCTGGACTTGCTTTTGCCTCGTTCTCTCAGCGGAGCGTGCATTTCCAGTGTCGTTCATTTAATTGTCTGAGATTAAAATGTGGTTCATCGTGAAGTCCTTTGAGTCATGTTTCTGAAACACACAATTATCCATTTCAAGCTTTTCTGGTTGTGCTTCTCAGTCTGACCTGACGTTTCAGTGGTTACGGTGCCGTGTGCTTACAGCGCAGTAGTGCATCTAATCTGTGAGTCACAGAACATTAGTTTAATGATCTCATGGTGAGTGTTAACACCTGTGCCAGATCCTGCAGTCAGTGCCTAAGACTTCGATTCACTGCATAAGATGAAGCTGAAAAACCCAATCACAGGTGAGTTCTGAAATGCCTCGCAAACTTAAACGGTTTGGTTCATCGCTACAAACGACAGTGAGCATTCCTGTAGTGAAATGTATTCCACGTTAAAAATAAAGCGTTAGTTACAAGTGACGGATACATGTGAAGGCGAGTTTTTTTTTTGACTTTAGAGTTTATCTGGAACGAAAAGGCCGCACGTGGATTGTAGAAGACGGTGCAGATGTAATGTTTTAAAGTAAACCATATTTACTGTACGGTGTTGGGACTAAGTGATTATTTGAAGCAGTGATCTGATAACAGGTGTAGCTGTTGGTGCTAACAGAGTCAGGGGACAGGAACCCTGAGGGACTCCAAAGAGTTTAGAGCTGCATAATGTCGTTGAGCGTTACTGTCATGTGACACAGCATACTCTCTGTACCTGTCAGAATCAAGATCACTATGCTGTGCTTGGGCTCCCACACCTGAGTACAAGGCGACACAGAAACAGATCAAAGCTGCCCGTGATATGTTCCACCTACACGCGTGTTTCATGTCTCTGGTTTGTTGTAATGACGCAGTTTGTCCCAAGTCTCTGCCGTTTATCTGCAGACAAATCGATTGGCTGAAGCACCATCCCGACAAAAGGAAAGCTGCAGGGAGCAGATCGTGGGAGAGCAATGACTACTTCACCTGCATCACTAAAGGTAGCAGTGCTGCAACTATCGTCAACACAGACATTGTTTCTGGAATCTGCTGAACTACTGACCCACCTGTTGAACCTCAGCTGTGGAAATCTTGTCCGACCCCGTGAGAGGGAGCCTTCGACAGTGTAGATCTACCTTCGACAATTCTGTGCTTCCAAGAGTGAAGGGGAAAGAGAACTTTTTTTGAGGATTTGCTCCCGTTTTTGAGAGAAATGCCAGATGGTCTTCCAAGAACATGTGCCCAAACTGGAACCGCGGAGTCCTCTTTTGAGAGTGGATAATTTTTACTCTTTTTGGTAAGTGGAAGAGTGAGAGATGCTCTTTGAATGAAAAAACGAGACAAACACAGGGTAAAGGTTCATTCTTTTTCTTTGGTAAGGTACAACTTGACTCCTGGAGGGAATTTTCATACTTGGATGAAGAAGAAAAGGAGAAGGCTGAATGGTAAGCTCCCGTCTGCCCTGATGAAGCAGGTGTTAGCCCCTGTCGTCTAACGCGTCAACTCTCCCCCGTGTAGTCGTGATGAGAGGAGATGGATTGAAAGCAGAACCGAGCTTCGAGGGTCAAAGGAAGAAGGAGGAGATGAACAGAATACGAACACTAGTTGGTAAGTCACACCTTCATTAGCAACCAAGCCTGAAGTATTGAGCAAATGCTGCTGCACGTACAGAGATGGTCTGTAAAAAGAGGCTGCAGTGTGACTCATCGTCTGTCATGCTTCACTGCAGATACTGCTACGGCTGCGACCCTAGAATAAAGAATTCAAAGAAGAAAAAAATCCAGGAAGGAGTCTGAGAAGAAGCCAAAGCTGAGGCCAAGAAGAGAGAGCAGGAAGAGAAGGAGAGGGTAGGTGTCACTCACGGCGGGGAAGGTCGATTGGCCTAAAGGTGCGACTGTTACGTCCAACGGTAAAGCTAGCAGCATAGAATCATCTCATTGGGTTGGTGCTGTTAGCTGCAACGTTCGTGTTACATTAGCTGCTCCTCTAGTTAGACAAGGTGATTAAAACAATCCATGCTGAGTTTATTCCTGCCAGTGCAGACGTGACAAAGGGAAAATAAATCAATAAATGAAGGAGGGTTACTGCAGGACAAATGTTCACACAGCTTCCTGTCCTGGTTCAGGCGCTGTAATTCCTCCATCCTCTCTGTGACCTGGATCACGAAGGAGCAGCTTAACCTGGAGCTGTTATGAAATTTAAAGAGTGGATAGTGTTCGCTTCTGTTTACCAGAATCTGAGCAGTGGACAGTATTGGACAGTTTGGTTTTCTTATTGTCATGTTTGGACAAAAACACCACTCAGTGCTTCACACTGTGGGTAATACACATATTTCCAGTCAAAGAAGCTTCTTAAAGCTGCTCAGTTCATGCTGTGAGAAGATGCTGAGCTTCAGTTGGTCACAGGCTCAGGTTCTGCGTGTCTGACAGGCCCGGCGGGCGGAGCTGGAGGCAGCTCGGCTGGCAAAGGAGAAGGAGGAAGAGGAAGCCAAGCAGGCCGCCCAGCAGGCCAAGAAAGAGAAGGAGATCCAGAAGAAGGCCATCAAGAAGGAGAGGCAGAAACTCAGGACCATGTGCAAGGTAAGCGCCTACAGTGTCAGACGTGTTTGTGTGCTGCTGCTGCTTGGTGCATTTTCACTATCTGATGCTGTTCCTCTCCACAGAACTGGAACTACTTTGCAGACAACGAGGCTGACAGTGTGAAAATGATGGAGGAAGTGGAGAAACTCTGTGACCGCCTGGAACTAACAAGGTACGAGTCAGTTTTAGCCAAAGGGCCGCCGTCGCCCAAAGGGCGCCGTCGCCAAAGGGCGCCGTCGCCAAAGGGCGTGATGCTTTTTGTTTTCTTGCTCGACTTTGAAGAAACAAACTGGATTCAGGTTTCCACCATGAGATGATCCTGGATGAGCGTAAAGCTGTTGATAATGTTGGTTACATTTAAACAGCTTACCATATAATGAAAGGAATGACCTGGGATATCATCTGTGAAACATCGGGTCAGGTTTGCTCATCTGCAGCTGAAAGCTTTCAGTGTTGGAGAGGAACCCTTTGCAGCTGCAGGCAGGAGCAGTTCTCTGGCACACAGAAGAGCCTGTGGTTTCATTACAAGTGTGAAGAACTTGGTGGTTTGACATGATGTGCCAAACTACAGGCTTGAATTAAGATTTAGTGTAATTATTATTTCATAAAGCTTCAGCAGTGCATTTGATGAGATGTGACGCATGTGTGTTGTTTCTTTCCAGCCTACAGTCCCTCAATGAAGAGTTGGCTTCGGGCTCTAAAGAGGAGAACAAGGCAGCAGTAGAAAAGCAGGTAGAGGAACTTTTCTTTGTAGCGCCTCAGGTTTGAAGCCGGAGACCATCAGGAGCCAGCACGTCGACAAACAGGTTGCTGCTGTTTCCTCAGGTGCAGGAGGTGAATGCTCAGCTGCAGAAGGAGAGGGAGGCTGAGATCCAGGCCAGGCAGGCGGCTCGCAGCTCTGAGCAGGCCAGCGGGGGAGCAGGCGGGGGAAGGGCTGGAACGAAGAGGACCTCCAGCTGCTCATAAAAGCAGTGAACCTGTTCCCTGCTGGAACCAACGCCAGGTGAGCGCTCGGAATTACAGCCGGCGTCAATCGGGGAACTGTGTGTCAATAAAGCTTGTTTCGTGTTTCCTAGGTGGGAGGTTATTGCTGACTATATGAACACGCACTCCACCAGCGGCATGAAGAGGACGGCCAAAGACGTCATCAACAAAGCCAAGAACCTGCAACGACTCGGTAAGCTCACAAAGAAACCTCAGCTTACCACGGTTTTATCTGTAGGCGCATGGATGCTTTGACCTGCTGCTGTTTACGGTCTCATCCACAGATCCGGTGCAGAAAGATGAAATAAATAGAAAAGCATTTGAAAAGTTCAAGAAGGAGCACACATCAGTGCCGCCCTCCATCGACAACGCTGTGCCCTCAGAGAGGTTTGATGGTAAGTGAGGCTGGGGTAGACACACACACCTGATCGATTCTGATTGGCTCCATCACCAAGCAGAATGTCAAAGACGTGCTGTGGATCAAATGTTATCAAGTACGTCTCCTCCCTGTGCTGATCGTGTCAGTAATAGATTACACGCACACGTCAGCGCTTCTGTGAAATGACTGAAACACATTAGCTCACTGCATAAGCACACAGGCTACCACACATCCCAGTGATGCTCGCTGTGATCAAACACGATGTTACAGTGTAACGAGTCGGTGATCTTACTAACATCCTTTGAACTTTAAATATGCCTGTACATTTTCCTGCACCATATCAGAGCCAATTTTACAATAGTTACGGGTCAAAGTATCTCTCAAGATTTTAAGAATAATAAATATCTCTTAAATTGTTTGCAATAATGAAGCATTTCAATATAATGTAGACAAAAACGAAAAATAACACGATAGTTACGGATCAGGACTCCCCGGTCCTTACTGCGCCTGTGCAAAGTTGGACCGTGCAGTACAGGGTACGAGGATACCGCCACCTGCTGACCGAGCGAATGAACCCTATTGTAAACTGAATTAGCGTCAAGCGCGTGTTAAATCTGATTTGGTGACAGTCGAGTGTGTTTATGCTCGTCTGTGAGGAGAGGATTGTTGGAATAGTGATGATGATGTGCACTGTCAGTTGTCAGTAAACACTTCATCTGGCTGATGAATCTTCACGTGACACATTACTAAGTCAGTATTATTAAGTCTGTAAGTAGGCGCCATTCTTTCTATTTTACGGCGCTGTTGCTCAATCGGGGGACGAGAAAAGCATGAATTTGTTTGTAAACGGATTCTCCATTGTTTAAATGTCCCGGGCAGTCGAAAAGCAGGCAGAGCTGCTGAGAAATGCTAAGAGCTAACTGGGCGCTAACCGTGTCACTTAAATACATTAACTCTCGCAATGTTGGCAACGAGAGGAAGTGACGGAAGATTTGCGCATGCGGAGTACTGATCAGGTTTCCGGTACGGATCCGGTAGTGACAGCGTCCAAATTCAGGAACCGCATCCTCCTGTGCCCGCATTTGTAGGCCGATTATGTTACAGCGACACGACAAAGGCTGCACAAATTCGAAGACTCTGACAAACGCGGCCTTCATTTCCCCAGATTTGAAGGATGGGTCAGGTGTATACTTCGTGGCCCACCTATCCCAGAATTCATAGCGTGGCCTTGCCAATTCCAGTTTCCAACAATGGCGGCAGCTAGTTAGTTTTAATATTACTCTTATTATTCTTTCTGGGTCACAAAATAAACGTTTAACATATTTTCAGGAGAATGTAGCTGTGTAAACCTCAAATATCTGCTCAGTTTATCAAGACACCGCATATTTTCAAAAGCGCTCCGACGTCTTCGGAGACGTCTGTTACCCACTAGCTCGATAGCTAGCCGGGGCTAGGCCCACTAGAGCCGTGAGAACACCGGACTCCCGGCAAATCGTCTTCAAATGTTATTGTTTGGCCTTTTTTCAGTATTTTATTTGTTCCTGAGTAAATCAGTTTGGCTGAGATTAAAGTTATAGTTTTTACACAGCTGAATAAACGTCAAGCAGACAGCTGATCATCAGAAGTGTGAGATGCTCCAGAATATACTCCGGTGTCCTGTTATATTTTAGATAGCAAGGAGTTTATTAAACTTCACCGAAACAATCTGCAGATTTCATTAAAATTTAATAAACTATAATCTTGTCTTTATTTTTAGTTAGCACCTTAAACACTTAAAGCTGTAAGCTAATGATAGTTAAATAAGAGCAGATGCTGCTGGTGCAATAAGCTGTACGTTGTACGTCCAATGGATGATGATCTGATTAGTCGACTATCAAAGTAATAGTTTGTGGCGGCCCTAGACCACACCTACTGCAGCTGAGCTGGTCTCTATTTGGGGCACAGCTTCTGTAGATGGCTCGTTTTTGTCCCAGTCGTTATTTAGTAGCTGATGTAATGAAAACATTCAGTCGTCAGCTGTGAGCTTTTGAGAGTTCCTGACGATTGTGTTGTCACGTGTGGCCCCTCAGCCTCAGGCAGTGATGGGAATGCTGCCCCCTGGACCACAGAGGAGCAGAAACTTCTAGAACAAGCCCTGAAGACCTACCCGGTCAACACGCCTGAGCGCTGGGAGAAGATCGCAGCTGCTGTGCGTGGACGAAGCAAGAAGGACTGTATGAAGAGGTATAAGGTATGCTGCTGCCGTGGTCTGTGCTCAGAAGGCTCGTGTTTTGCATTAAAGTGTTTTTACTGCAGCGACAAACTGAGGAACTAACACGTTTCCTTTTTCCTCTGACAGGAACTGGTGGAGATGGTCAAAGCCAAGAAAGCTGCTCAGGAACAAGTGGCAGCCAAAAATAAAAAATGACAAGAACCACGCGTTAATAGAATCTGTTATTTTAACATTATTGTGTTGGTCTTTATTTTATAATAAAAAGAAGGAAAAAATAACGTGACACGACTTAAATTTTGCATTTGTCCACTTCCTCAGCGTGTCCTGCTCAGCTTCTCATCCAGAACATCCCACTGCGGATCTGGTTGTAGTCGGGCAGCTGTTCGATTGGACCTGAGAACAAACAAACTTATTGCTTATCTGCTTTAACATCAGGCAGAAACACGAGTTTGAACACAGACTGAGTTCCAGAGACGCTCTGATCTTTGACTGACTGCATCGTCACACTTGAAGCTACGCTCACTTCCTGTTTTGGCTCAAGATTTAAACCCAGAGTTCTGATAAACCATTCTTTTCTTTACAGGCGACAGAAAACTGATTAAAATTGTAAATCAGGGCTAAAAGCTAAAACATCAGTCTGCATAGTTCAGCCTCTGCAGGCATCCCGTGTTTGAAAACGTACCGACAGCTGCGATGGCAGGAGCTCTGTTGTAGATGTATTTGGTGCACATGTCCTTTATGGTGCTGGCGTCGATGGCCTGTGGAGAGCCAGAGACAAACATGGTGGAGGATCAGGGCAAAAAGAGCTTTTCAAACATTATTTCAGGTCGTGCTTAAAGACACCGGCTGGGACGTTACCAGATTTACATTGAGGTTTTCTCAGCCTCACACAGTTTATCACTGTGACTCTGTTATTGTTCTGGTCTTACTGCTTTAAATGTAAAGAAACCTGGCCTTATGAAAAAATATACTCTTATGATGCATTTTAACTTTAAATATGGAAGCAGCAAATAAGCACACGTGACGAGTGCCAGAAAGCTCAACGTTCCTGGGATCTCACTTCCTCCTCTGGTTGCAGTTTTTCTACGTTCAACAGTCACAAAGGTGGAATTCAGCTGCGACGTTCTGCGACACCACGCGCTAAGGACGCATCAACGTGGAGGTGTTGGAGACGCGACGCAGTCTCACCACTATAATCTGTCTAAACAGGTTACCATGGTTACCAGGTAAATAAAAAGTGAAGTACAGGCCTCAGTTTGAGCTGCAATAACAGAGGCTGTTAGACTGTAAAAATGAAAGCTAACAGAGCCAACCGTAGCTGCTGGATACTAAGAGTACACAGAGTTATGAACTTGTACAAAACGCAGCCCTCAGTTGGATTTCCGGTAACAGTTACTGACAGAGCAGAAGAACCTGTCGACTCACATCAATGCGGGCTTCCAGCTCATGCAGAGGGATCCTGCGACTGTAGCACAGCATCTGTCTGCCGATGTCCTCGCAGATTGGGGTGGATCCTGGAGGAAGCAGATCAACACGTGAAACCAGGCGCCGCACGACTGCACGCTCTACAGTCACGCTGCCTTACCGTCCAGATGCAGCAGCATGTTGGTCTTGAGCAGGTTCTTGGCCCGAGCTACCTCGCTCTCCGTCACACTGGTACAAAGAGAAATCCTGACAGGAAGCAGCGACACACAAGCGTTAAACACGTTCAGTCAGCAGGTTTAACCTTCTCTAAAACTTTGACGACTAAACTGATCTGAGCGCGCTCACCATTCCATTTGAGTAAAGTGCATCATGTCGTTGATGGTGCCGGGTTCACACACCATGTAGAGTCCCCAGAGGCCTGTGTCTGTGTAGCAGGTGTTGAAGGACTGGAAGCTATGGCACAGGTTCCCCTGACAGGCCATCTGAGCCAGCTTACTGGATAGATTCTAAACTCAGAGGACATAGAAACAAACGGTTCGCTGAATAAATGCTGAGCACGTATGTGTGGTCAGTTTTTATTTAAAGATGGCGAAGAAGAGGAAGAGCATTTAGCAGCAGCACAGAGAAAACAACACGTGCCACATCCAAGGTTTCCTCAGTACTCACCACGCCTCCACCAAACGAGCGGTCCCAGTTTCCAATGAGCGTGTTGGCTACCATGAGTGGGATTGTGTCGGGGTGAGACCATCCGACAGCCTCCACGGCGATGGCGATGTGAGCAGTGGCATTTTGTCGTCACGGACTCTGATCTGAAACCGTAACAGAGTCCTGAAGCATTCACCAAATTAAAGCTTTTTTTAATAACTTGAAATGAAACTGCACCAGTTTCACAGTCAACGAATGATAGAAAGCACACAAATACTTAACTGAGGTCTACTGGAAGTAGAGCAGGGCGATATGGCCAAAAATATTTATCACGATATATATTTGAAACTTTGCGATAACGATATAACCGACGATATAATTGATGCGAGACAAAATACACCTCCACAACATTACTAGCGCAAAAACAACCTTCCATTTATTTTTACGTAAACAAGAAGCTGGTTTTTATGTACATTAAAGCTTTATAAAAATGTAACCGTGCAAATGCAAATTCCTTGCTGAAAGTTTAACCAAAAGGCATTTCCAGTAGAAATGGGCTGACATATCCTGAGCATAACCATGTATAATATCCACTGAAGTTAAAAAGAGGTGCTTTGCAACATTAAACTGCAGTGTGCAGTACGCATTTTTGGACCATAAGGCACATTGAGCTAAACAAAGCAGTTAGATAAATAAACTTTATTAAACTCATTCTTCTTGCTTCCTCCACTTCTGTACCATTGATTCATTAATGTTGAATTCTCTGCAGCTGCTCTATTCCCATGTTGTTGCAGTATATTAATGACTAGCCTTGTATTGTGGATGGATTATCTCAGTTGTTCTCCTGACTGAAGTTTGGTCCGTTTACAGCATCCTGCCATGCGATTGCATTTGTTTCTAACCATGAAGAACCTTCACGTTAACTTTTATAAGTGGAAAAGTGTTAGTGTTTGTCCTCCAGCTTCACTGTTTATGTTATGCTAACATAGCTGTGTCGCTAGCGATCACGTAGCACATCATTATAGACCAGCTAGCCCAACTTCAGTAACCCTACAAACGTCACTGCTGTTTAGTTTCCTGTCTTCATTTATGTTGCAAGTGATAGCAGAGCTGTACGTTTGATTTTTTCAGAAATCTCTCAGTCAGAACATGCTATATCATGCTTAGGTAACTAGCGAAACTAGCGAGCTAACTTCCGCTAGCTTCCTGCTAACTTCTAACTCCGTTAAATGTAATACATTTTGTTTTCATGGATGCCTGGAAGTTAAACTTCATAGTTTCACCTGGTAAAGCAGCAATGCTGATCGTTTTATTAAAGATGAAAGAATTTAGACAGTTTTTAAACTCTCAGTGATGCTGCAGTGTCGTTTGACCTGAAGAATACGGAGTTTAGGACCCAGATTACTCCCAGATTTAAGAGTAGGGATGGGTATCGTTTAGGTTTTATCCGATACCGGTGCCAAATCGGTACTTTTGAAACGGTGCCGGTGCTTAAACGGTGCTCGAACCGGTGCTTAAAGAATGGAGAACACAAACTTTGTCCAAAAACCTCTCATGTTCAGCTGTTTGTTTTTTTTTTGTAAAAAGATAACAATGTTAGCCTTTTCTGCAGCTATGGGGCATATATGGTATATACTCTTGGCTGGAAGCAGTGCTTAAACAATGGAAAAAACACAAACTTTGTCCAAAAACCTCTCATGTTTAACTGTTTCCCACTTTTTCTTTGGTCATTTTAGCCTTTTGGCCAGGGTGAAGGGAGTATCTGCCATCAAACAAGAAGACAGCCGCATGTAGCTATGATGGTGTTTGCTAGTTCACCTTACATGCATTAATGTAATAACGTGGTTAGCCTACTCAACGTAAATTACACACGAACAACATGAAGCTACTCATGCAGAGAAGAACGGCTGCTGCTGCATCATCATCCTCATCATTTCTGCTACACTGGCAGGGCTAGGGGCCAGGACTCTATTCTTCGGGTTTTGGGGGATGTTGCTCCGGTCCGATAACTGGCAACCCACCCAACGTGCACAGTGTGAGGTCTCGCAGCAAGCTATCAAATACAGCGCATTTCTCGGCTTTAAAAAAAAAAGCTATGCGTCGCCAGGTGTTTCATCGGATTTGAGGTGTTACCTCCTTTGACAGTATCACAGTATCAGCTTAAAGCACTTGTTGCTGCTGAGTTTGCATATTTTTCTGTGAAGTACAACCAGACTTTTGACCGCTTCGCCTTGGACATTTTTAATCTGTAGCTCTGCTCTAACTGAACGTACGTACCTGGCCCCGCCTACTATCCTGGGAAACGTAAAGTGATTGGCTAGAAGTGTATCACAGCTCAGGGAAAAAAAGCACCGAAATAAAGCACCGAAATGTGCGCTGCTTTTCGGTCTGGTTACTACCGTTTATGTCAGAACCGGTGCCATCATGGCACCGGACACCGGTACCCATCCCTATTTAAGAGCATCTTAGTCCGACAAATATGACAATAACGACGGCCGCTTGCATGTTCTGCAAAAAAATGTGCTTTGTCGTGTATCTGACGGACAAACACCAAACCAGTTTCACATCACTGAAGCTGCACCATTTTTAAACCAATTCTGGTTCATCTGTTTCACATCACTGAAGCTGCACCATTTTTAAACCAATTCTGGTTCATCTGTTTCACTCAACAATCAGCCATGTGCGTATGAAAACAAAGGCACCGCGCATGCGCGTTTTACTCATATTCTATCGCGATATTTCATTTTCCTATCGTTGCCTAACATTATACCAGTATTACCGTGAACGGTATAATATGGCCCAGCCCTAACTGGAAGTATCTACAGTTCTCAGTGCTGTGATACAGGCCGGCAGGAGTTAGTGGGGAACTGTCAACGCTTTTGTTTTGAAGGCAGAGCTGGGTTAAAGAGCAAATCTAATCTGTGAGACGATCAGCAGACGACAGGATGCATACGTGTATATAGAAACTGAATTCATGACTGTTTTTACACGTCTTTTAAACCACTTTAAATACAACTTGAAAGCAAACTTGTTCTGGTTACTCCTCTAAACGATATCTCACCGTCTCCCCGAGCATGTCCAGCTGCAGTATAATCGTTCATTTCAGGGAATATCCGACACATCTATCGCCTTCTTCATCTAAAAGGTTTCCATTAATGAAAGCCTGATGCCGTGTGAACTAGAAAGCACAGCCTGCATGAACCTGCATGAACCTGCATGATGCAGTCACACTGGAT